GCTTAGAAAATAATCTTTTTTTTTACGAATCGTTATATTTTATGAACTCGCATAAAAAATTCAAAACTTTATGTAATTGAATGGTTTGCTCAGAAAAGATTTTAAACCTAGTTGAAGCTGGAACACTTTGAAGTATTTCCAAGTTTACTCAGCCTGAATTAATAGCTTGTCTCGAAAAACTTTTTAAAATGCGCAAACTGATTTACGATATGGAATAACTCAAATTATTCAAGTTTTTTGCTTGGATAGCTTCCTGCTTGTTAAATAAAGTCACCTTGTTGCTAGCCGATAGATTATTGGAGAGGAAGTTGATAGTTATTTGTTCATACGTTTCAAGGGAGTTATTCTGAAACTAGTGTTAAGTTTTCACAATTGAATTACACCATTAACACTATTCAGCAGCCTCTTATAGTAAAAGTTGTGAGAAGACTTGAGTTTTTGACCAGAACACGACTATTTAATTTTCAGCTTCTTTATTATCGCATGCTGCTAAAATTCTAATCTCTGCTTAGCCTGGTTGACAAGTTTTTTTAATTCCCAATTATTTTCTCATACACTTCGAAGTGTTAAGAGTTTGTTTGACAAAAAATAATGATAAAAAATAAGTTTACCATGCTTTAGAAATGTACTAGTATTGTTTTTTGGGCATTTTGGACATGTACTACTATGTACTACTATTTTCGGGCATTTTTTGGACATCCAAACACCCGAAAAATCAAAAAATGTTGCAAACATTATAAAAACCGCTTTAAAAGGCAATTATTCCACATTTGTTCAAAAAGAAGGGCAAAAATCCAAATTGTACCGCTCGCTTAAAAATGCTGTAGTTGCTAAGTTAAAGCGGATTACAGCAGTCGTGTCACCGTTTTGCGAGCTTGCTGACAGAAGGTAGGACTCGATAGGAAAATTAGAGCCGGTTATCGCCGCGAAGTAGCGACACACGCGTAGCACGCCCACCATCAATCTTAAGCCGAGAGTCGGCTAAATTGGAGTTGGATAACTGAACTATGGATCCTTTTTCAAATTTCAACGTCATATTGTTACATATTTGTTGTATAAGCTCAGATAATTGATATAGCTATTTCTTAAAAAATCGGATGTTTGCCCTGGACCCTGTTTTTTACTGCTTTGAGTTGCATCACTAACGTTTTTTATTTATATAAAAATTTTTGTGACTAACTTTTTTGTTAACCTGGGGAAGTAAAAGAGCAAGTTGCAAAGTACTAGCTGTTTTAAGGTCATATCAGAATTTTGAATGTTATCGAAAGTTATTTTTTATCAGACTTTTACTATTGGAACCATTGTCCAAATTTGTATGACCATTTTTATTGTAAATTAATATAGTATGCTTTCTTCGTGATATCTCTCGCAGCGGTTGCTGTATTCCATGCAATGGTAGGTATATTACACAATTTTTATACAAAATTTATACAAAAATTTGTGGTTATGTTTTCATGCATTTTTGTTCCGACCATTGAACATGGGTAAGAACTATGTACTTGGCTATGTTTTAATTTTTTTCTTTTTTTGCCCACGCAATAAAACCACAAATAATCAATGGACAGGGTTGAATGATATATCATATTAAAGCTCATTTAGTCGCAATTGGAACGCTATTAAAAAAAAGTTCAAAAAAATTTCCCAGTGTCGAGAACACCGATTTGAAATTTTTGATTTTTCATATTTTTCCGAGCATCGAAAATCGGATTCGTATTTTGTATATAAAGTTTTACAACTAGATAAAATTATCTTCTTTGAGCATTAACAATCAACAATAACGCTTTGGAATCTTTCGTTCATACACTAAACATGCTGATGCCTTTTAGGTATTCTCCCCAGCCGAATTGAATTGTTGATGTGCATTTTCATACAATGTTTATAAGTTGCTGGCTTGAAAAATAAAAATTCATACTCTTTTCAGTTTCATATTTAGTCGTTAACTAAGAGGCGCGTATCATTTTGGTTTTCTCCTTGTTGTAAAACTAGTCGCTATTTTAAAAATATAGCTACCCAACCATAACATGTAACTGTGATCCACACATGCTGAATTTGCTATTTTAGTAGTAATATCAGATCCACATGCGTTTCAGCTGTTTGATTTGCGGCTGATAAGTCGATTCTCATTTTTCTGTGTCTATTTTTGCTTAGCCGTTTCGTCTTCACTATCGCTCACTTTTGTCTGTCTAATTTGTGACTGTTTACTTGTGTTTGTGTTTGCGTCTTTCAGCTGCCAGAAAATGTCGGCTAGGTGCTAAGTCCGTGGCCACATTTGGCAACCAACTGCCTCCACCTCCAAAAACCCAACTAATCTCTCACTTCGCTCCTCTTTCATCTACCCTCCGGGGATCTCGCGGTGGCCGGCGACTGGGCGAAATTGAGATGACCCAGAAAGGGTTCAGCAGCACCTGGACAGCCTCTTTGCTCTTTCCACCTGGTCTAGTCTGGCCCGGTCGGGGGTAGATCACAACCAGAACCCCTAAGAGGACTGCCTAAGAGGCGACCCCGATTGCCCAGTTTGAGAATAGTCCCTTCCGGCTTCCATTTTCATTTTTCTGGACTTCAGGCTGTCTGCCAGTTGTGTTCATGCAGATATTTGAAGATTTAAAATAATAAATACAAAAATGCACCAATCGGTATAATGTCAAATACATAAAATGATTCAGTTATTTTTTTGCGATAATGAATACAACTCTAAGCTTAAAATTTTTCGTCAAAGGAATCTAGTATCAATTGCTATGAGCGACATTTCGAGAGTTTTTCGATTGTTTTTTAAATCAAAAGCATCTTAAACTCTGATCAGTATGTCATACCGCTAAGTCGGTTATTTTATATTGTTTTTCTGCCAACCTTCTTGCTCTTAGGATTTTTAAAAATAAAGTCAAACTCCAATTTATTATTCTGTTGCTTACTGTCACAAAGTATTAATGCCCTCGAATACAGTTGGTAAAGTTTCTCCAATTTTTGTCAGAAAAACCGGCAGTAAAAAGCGCAATGGAAATCAATTTAGTGTATTTCTTTGGGCGTAATGGTGAAAGAACTAATAAAATAAGCTTTTGCTGAGTTATAACTTTTACAGCTTGAAACAGTTTTCAAGCAGTTTATAAAAACCGGAATTTTTCTGGCGTTTTTGTCCGAATTGTAAAAATTCGTTGGCCAACTTGTCCTTGCGGTTCGCTGTCGGTCCATCCAAGGCCGCTCTTATCCACAGTTTTTCCCATTTTATGCCACTGGCTAATCTCTGGATCCTGGCGCTTACTTCGGAAGGTACAACTAACTTGATTACAAGTCTGGTTTTAGTCTGCTTTTATACTATTGATATTTCTCTATTCTGTTTCAAACCTGATTAGAATGCCACGCCGCCGTTTCCTCTAGCCTACTTTTCTAGAGCCGAACAGACTAATTACGTAATGCCGTTACGTAACAGCTGTAACATGACAAGAATGTTGGGCTTCGGCTTGCGGAGACTTTTAGCTCGTTGGTATGTTACCGTTCAAAACCTTGCCGTTCATCGTGTGTTGGTAATGCAGGGAACAGATTTTGTTTGGCGGCGTATGTTTCTTTTGAAAGTGATATGTAAACATTTGCCCTATTTATTTGTTTACCCTTTGCACCAGTCCCGATCAAAGTCAAAAACTTCTCGAATCCGGTCTGGTCCGAATAACTGAATATTCTTTGAAGTCTCACCTTATCCCAAACTCCCTTACCCCCTCCCCCCCCCCCCCCCCGCCCTCTTCCCAATTACTTTTCTTATTTTTCCCTCAAAATTTGTACGGGTAAACAGAATAATCTGTCTGCAAACTCTCCAAGATTTGGTAAAACGGTTTTGCGGTTTTGGCCCACTCAAATCTTTGCTCAAGCTAAAAACACGTCAGAAGTGGATGGAAACGTAACAATCGAAAAAAACATAGACGTATGAATAAGTATCTTTCTTGAAAACTAGTTTTAACCTACTTGTAATATTTTTGATAACTTGAACTTCAAAAAGCTGATTAATATTGAACCAACTCAACTTTGCCCTTGGCTTAAGTATCTTTTGAACAATTTTAGACGGGCAAATTGCAACTAAATTTTGATTATTTATTTCATTTTATTTTGCAACAAATTTGAAATGAAACAAAAGTATAGACCAACCTTTGAAGCTGCCTATTAAACTGAGCACAAAATTTGCCCTTAGCTGAAAAATATTGCCCAAAGTTTGCCTATGGCGACAAAACGAGATACAAAATTTCTGGCCCGAAGCTTTTATTTTTTCTGTTTTTGGTTTAGGTTTCGGCTCGTGTTTTCTATTGTCTGTCGCTCGTAGCAGTAGAAAAACACGAAAACTTAGTTGTTGTTATTTGAACCACTAAATTGACCCAGATTTCTATCAATCGTGCCGAAATGTAGATCAACCATTGACATAGGTGTCATTCAAATTTCGACCCCTGATTTCCGCGTAAATTCCCCGCCGCGTTTTTTCACCATGCGCTTATTAATAGTAACGAAGTTATAATTCTTGTAATGGCGGGAACTTGTTATATTTTTGGAACATGGTGTAATTTAGGGATGTCCCTATTTTGATAGAAACTCCCAGATTTCAAAAAAACGGTGCTCATTAAAATTATGAATCGCACTTTCGACGATGATGATAATGATTATGAACTCCATAGTCCATAAAAGGTGATTTTCCCTGAGAAGATGGAATCCTTTTCGCAAGTGTTTTTTTTTCAGATCCCACATTCTTCAAGAAGCGGACCTGAGAAAACTTCAAGCAGCAGAAATACAGGTTGTGTGGGTTAAAGTGACATCTAAACAAAAACAATCTTCAAAGGTTTATCTAATTGATTGAAAAATTGATAAATTGCTTATACATTATGTTGTAGCGTTGTATGAAAAAGTAATCGGCAGAATTTTTGCATGCTTAATTAATAGTTTTTTTTGCTGTTTTTCTTCAATCAAGATAGCCAATCAGATTCAAGTAAATATATCTCAGATATAATTGGCCGACGTTTTCAGCTGAAGATAAAGAAAGAAAGGCCAAATATAGTGAAGAATTAACAAAGCTTTTGTTTATTCGGGACTTTTATGATATCGGCCAATTTGGTAAGAGAGTAAAAATACGGCCAACCTTAGTGGCTATAAATTTGACCAATTCAGTTATCCAATTTTACCCTAGCTAAGCTAGTGCTACCCTACCAGAACCCAAAAAGTCCCTCCATTTCAATATCGAAACTGAAAGTATCAAAGTATTACAGTTTTGATCCCCTCGCAACTAAATCGGTAGTATTAGCAACTTACTAGTTGAATCTGAACCAATGAAATTGCCAGTCGCTACAAGTTAGTAAATAAAAAACTTTTATAGACCTCCTGTGCTATTAGCCACAGAGCTCAAAAACAGCAGTGACACCGCAACAACAGCCTTTTTAATTGCGGGCCATTCAAAGTTCAGTCTAACATAAAATATCACAAAATTGTGCGACTATAATTGTCAAATCGAGTAATTTGACAGAGCTGTAAACATTATAAAATTGATTAGTGACACTTCATTGATACATTTCCTTAATTTGTAATTCTTTCAACTCGGTTGTTTCAAATTGTCCCCGCCCGAATAACCGAGACGGGAAAGTGAGAGCCAGTTTATGGTCCCCCTGCCAGAAAGAGAGAAAAGAGTCAAGGCCATTAACACAACATCGACAGGTAGGTGAAAAATTATTTTATTTGCTACTTTACTCGTGTTTTATTGCTCTATTTCTGCTCTTTTTACTGCCCAAGAATAGTTTTGTTTCAATTTATCACCCTCAATGGTTAGTAATTATACCTTTTAACCAGAACTGATCATACTTTTTTACAACTTCGGTTGAAACGTTAACAGTGTCTTGCTTGTTTTATGGTTGGGTTCAAGCTACTAGATTTTTAAACCGGTGATAAACACGTTATTCCCATAGTAACGACCCTCGAAAATCAAGAGAAACATTTTATAGTTAGAGGAATTTCTTTTAACTGCTCTCATGGATGTTTCGATCGTTTTTGATAGCAAAATTAACCCGTAATTATTTTTATGTAAGGATATAAAAATGGTCTGACTTTCGTTGAAATAAACGACTTGCTTTTTTGGCAAAATAGAAAATTGCATAACATCCATCAAACGTGTAATTACTAACCCATAAACATTTTATCGTTTTTTTTTACTTTGCTCGAATCATTTTACCCGATTTTTCAGACCGGCCGAACATCTAATAAACCGCTTCGACCGAAATGCCAAAAATTTCAGATTTTAACTCAAGTTCGATTCAAAGTTTTCGAAAATGTTACTGGAGTCGTAGAGAAAAATTACCCAGAGGAGGTTTCGGCTGAGATAGGTGAGATCAAAATATCTATTAAATACTTATTCAAAATATCAACACAAGTTTTCAATTTTAGTTCTAAGTGTATGAAGTATAATAACGTCTAAAACAGATTTGGTGGATGTAGGATTTTCTCAAGGGCGGGGGCGGATTTTCAAAAAATTTAGCGCCATCAGTTTATTGTATTTTAAGCCTTCATCTTCCTCGCATTGCTGCAGATCTAATAATTTTAAACAGGGGTGGATCTAGGATTTTCTCGAGGGGGGGGGGCGGATTTGAAAATTTATCGACATTTTTTTTAGTTCGACCAAATTGATTTTCCGAGCTCTCCCAAAGCACAAAAAAGACCCTGTTTTGCCCACAATTTCTGCGCCGCATGCAAAATTTTGAAAAAAAAACAGGCCGAAAAAGGCGTTTTTAGGCACTTTTTGGAAAACTTTTACCAAAAAATCGCGTTTTTTCGGCGCGCGCTCCCCCCTCAAATTTAGTATAAATTGGTGCCAAAGGCGCCTTTAGAAAACTTTTAGGGTCCGTTACCAGAAATGGATATCTCAAAATAGTACAAAGGGGGGTACTATTTATGGTACACACAAACAATTCAATTTTATTCTACTGCTTTTTTAACGTTAGTTCAGCTATAATTACTTCTAATTTCTGTATTTTGTACCAATCTTACTCGCCCTATTCTACTAGAAAAAGCAACACATTTAAAACGTTTTTCTTTCCTGATTTAAAAAAAATCCCTTGTTTTTGAATTTTTTGATGTAATCATGGTGTTTGGAACGATTTGTGCTACAGCAACCAGCTATTCTTGTTAGTTCGTTGTTCTTAGCTCCCGGCTGCAGTAAAAATTATTCATGGCTCAGACCCGAACAAAAATCGTTGACATCAAAGCTCATCACTGAGCTCTCGAAGGTGGTTCTCAATTTGCTCAATTTTTTTGGTAGTTTCTAGTGCATAAGTTTCTGCAGTGTTGAGGCCATCGAATTATTTTCTTTTGCTTTTTGAGCTGGCTTGAAGCGAATATAAGAGTAAATGCAAAGCAACTTTTGGTTGTGATTCCAACCTCAATAAAAACCTTTTTGTTCGCGAATTGCTTTTCAAAATGAACTCCAAGTAAATACCCAGTGTCGCAGATTGTTTTTAATTTTAACTTTCTGATAGGCTCAATACAATAATTGTTGAACTTTGTTAGACTCAACTTTTTGTGTAAATAATTAGTCTATAAAAATACAACCCCCCTCCCCGTAAAAACAACAAAATTTGCAAAAAAGTTTTCGTTTTTCGCTCAATTTTTTCAATATTAGTTGATGTAATTTTTTATTCTTTTTTTACAGCAACCGTTTTTTAAATGATTTTTTTGTTCTTTATTTTTTTAAAAATTGATGAAACATGAAATATTTATTTGAATAATAGCCTAAACACTGAGTTGAAGTATACTAGTACTGGTACAATAAATAATCTGACTGAAATTCGAACTTTTAACCAGTTTGTTACCTTTGTACGTACGATACTACAATCTATTTTGGCCGACCGTTTCCGAAAGGTTGACAGAAAATTTGTAAATCAGTATTATCAAAAAAGGCCCATTATCAAAATTTTGAGGGTTTTTTTGACAGTCATTAATCTGGGCTGCAAAAGATACGTTAAATTTAGGTCTTCAACTGTTTTGTTTAGCCCAGACAATTACTGTTAGTCAACCTTGAAAAGTTTTTCTAGACCTGAAACATGTAAGTCAATCATCCATTCTCTAGAAAAATAACTGCTTCCGTGGTTCTCCCTGACTCTCTTTTATTCTCTTGATTCTAATGTGCAAAAACAGCTTCTCCCAGAAGCGTAGAGTCCAGACATTTTGTTGTTTTTGCACAATAACAAATCTGCTCTTTTTGTGCGCTTATGCTAAATTGTATTTATTTTATCCCAGACTGTGCTTTTCGTGCTTATGATGTGTTATTTTTGTTTTGATTCTCACAAACCTGAGAATCTTTTCAGTATCTGTTGATGAGCTTAGGATCCCGTAGGAGGGGGGGGGGGGTTGTATAGTAGGTCTAAGTGAGTGTTAGTTTTCGTGATGGGTTGTTTTTGTTATCCGCTCTTTTCACAAATGGGTTCTTTTGAAGTTGTCGAAACTGGGTTAAACGGTTAACGCACTCCCTATTTACCGCTCTCTTAAACCTGACCCAAATAATGAAACTTTCTAACTAGTTTATAACTTATCAATTAGCAGGTCTTCCTTGAAAGAAAAAAGCCGCCGCCTAGGTGTGTATAGTCTACTATAGCCCTTATAACAGTTAACACCCTTAGTTCAAAATAGCCCCCCTCTTCGAAACCGTCCTTAAAGTGAGTGACTCATTTCGACTTGACTTTAAGTGTACTAAAATAATTGGTCGACAAGAGATGTTTTTGGACCAGGAAGTAACGCGACAAAAGCGCCAAGAGTTCTCACAGTTGTTGGTTCAAATTTATTGTTTAACTGCTTAGTAAACACTACTCGTGTTTCAAAAACAAGTCCACTAGCGCCATCAGTTTCTTGTCCTTTAAGTCTTCATCTTCCTCGCATTGCTTCAGATCTATTAGCTTTAAACAGGGGCGGATTTATGATTTTCTCGAGGGGGGGGGGCTGACTTTCAATAAATTTTCGAAGATTTCGTCGACCTTTTTTTAGGTCGACCAAATTGATTTCCAACCTCTCCCAAAGCAATGGAAAGACCTTGTTTTGGCAACATTTTCAGGACAGGCAAAATTTTGAAAAAAAAACAGACCGAAAAAAGCGGTTTAAAATTTTAGGCATTTCAAATTTTAGAAAAATTTCAGGGTCCGTCAGCCGAAAATATATCTCAAAATAGTACAAAAAGGAAACCCTTTGGGTCGGCAGGGGGTCGAATCCCTGAGAGGGGAGCGTCCGCCCCCACCCCCCTAAATCCGCCCCTGACTTTAAAAGCTCTTCGTAAATGATCACCTCAAAACGACTCCAAATGATTTATTTTTTTTTTATTTCAAACTAAAAGAAATGATGATGTTTATTATTGGAAACGTCCGCGAGCTTGGCCGCTTTGCGATCTCCTTAAACCTTTCGCCGAGTCTTTTCTACCGATGTCAATGTTCAATATCATCAATCAAGCGAATTCTGAGACCTGTCGCCAATTTTTTTACTCACTGCGAAAAATAATACGACTGCTTTGATTCTGAGAAAAAATAGTGTTTACACATTCATTTTGTTTTCTCGTTTTTTCTAAGTTTCACGTACGTTTAATCTGATTTTTCAATCTGTAAACCTTTTTTGGAACTTAAATGTCAACCAGAAGAGTTTATGAAAATACTGACCATTCATTCACCGTAAGCACATGTTGAAGCACTGATTATTGAGACTAAAAACGAGATCAAATTCTAAGAGGACTCTTCAACTCACTTTCATCTGGGGGTCCGACTTTTTTCACACCATTCAATCTGTTCGAACGAGCATCGAGTTTCCAACTCAGACAGTTTCAAGTCGGCTTGTCGGTAACATGATAAGAGCTCCACACTATTAAGATTCCAGACAATATTTTACAACCCCGCCAACTTAACTGTTTAAAAAGGTACGAAATCTGGCTCGGATCAAAAGCGATTTTGCCGACTCGATTTGTAGTTTTTGGTGAGAACAATTTTGGTTATAGTATTAATGAAGGCTTAGCGTGGCTGGGTTAATAAAAATTAATGAGGCAACTTGGTGCAATTGTTAAATTCGTGCGTAACTTGATGATCGGTTGTGATTCGTAACAAATCTGTTTGGACCCTTCAATCATCGTTTTATGGTTCTCACCAAGGTGTCAATATGATAATACCTGTTACAGACCGTTATTTCTGTTGTTTGTTGCAGTTTTCAGTCTAGTGATTCTCATTTAATTGATTTTTCTACGCCAAATTTACTTACTTAAACCGATTTGTCAATTTTGACCCCAGACGAATTAACATAAATACAATTTAATCAATTCAAATTGAAAATACTCAAATTATTTCTACGGCAATTTCCGACCCAATAAAAAGGAATAGTCCAATAAACCGTAAGTTTGAAACCCCATTTTAACTAATTAAGTATTATAGTTTTTCTCTGCAAAAACTACTTTAAAACTATGGATCATATCATTATAATTAAAAACTGAATGATTCCATACAACTGAGCATTAAATTAGTTATTCATTTTTCAAATTCGATTGTATCTGGACCTGAAAAAAAAAAGATAATCAATCAGATACTTGAATAGCCAGTGGCTGCACGAGGAACACAGTGTTTCGACGACATTGATAGAGGAAAAACTCATAAACTCGTTTTTTTTTCAAAACTCAAAAATTTCAAAAAATCAAAAAATCAATA